ACCTCAGCCGGACTTACTTGCGGATGGAACTCAAATAGGCGATAAAACTGGACTAGAGACTTGTGCGATTAGTCAGGTCGTGGCCGACACCCTCGCTGGGCTTCCGCTTGAAGGTTGTCGAGTACATGTCGTGTAAACGGCGGTAAGTGGTGACAGCGTTGATACGTCTCCGTCATATCTATAATTTTTGATTGTTTCATGCCAATATTACACAAGTTTTACATACTTTTGGCAACTTTTTATATGATTTACTGGACTAGCCTATTGATCCAGTTCCCAGTGCCAATTCTTGTTTTCTGCATGTTTTTTGTATTGCAGAAAATCCATGCCAAACGAAGTCCAAACGCGATAAAAATTTACGAAGAATTATTTTGGACTATATTTGATTTTTGGGAGTTGGAATCACCGCAAATGGAGTCCCGTGGTGGGCACAACCCACCAGGATCCGACCCCTGAGCCAGGCGCATGGTGGTGGGTTGTGCCCACCTCGAACGTCGGTTGGAGCTCTACTTCGGGCGCATGGAAGCTTATATCCGGAAAATTTTTGTTAACATCTCATCGCAATCGGAGTTACGGATCTCCGGGAATATAAGAAACGCTTTTCGTCTAGATCTGGAAACGCGAAACAGAAGAGAACAGAGAGGGAGATCCAAACTCGAAGGGGCTCCTGCCCCTCCGCGACCATGGAGACCAAGGACCAGAGGGGGAACTCTCCTCCCATCTAGGGGGGAGGCCAAGGAAGAAGAAGGAGGGGGGGCTCTCTCCCCCTCGCTTCGGGTGGTGCCGGAGTGCCACCGGGGCAACGATCGGGACGACGATCTACATCAACAATATTTCTACCGTCAACACCAACTTTCTCCCCCTCTATGCAGCGGTGTAACACCCCTTCTCCCCGCTGTAATCTCTACTTAAACATGGTGCTCAACTCCATATATTATTTGCCAATGATCTATGGTTATCCTATGATGTTTGAGTAGATCCATTTTGTCCTGTGGGTTAATCGTGATCTTGGTTGGTATGATTGTATATTTTATTTATGGTGTTGTCCTACGGTGCCCTCCGTTCTCGTGCAAACGTGAGGGACCCCCATTGTAGGGTGTTGCAATATGTTCATGGTTTTCTTATTGTCAGTGTTGCGGGGGATGACAGCAGCCCAAACGCGGATAGGTGGGTTATGGCATATGGGAGTAAAGAGGACTTGATACTTAATGCTATGGTTGGGTTGCATGACCTTAATGATATTTAGTAGTTGTGGATGCTTACTAGATTTCCAATCATAAGTGCATATGGTCCAAGTAGAGAAAGTATGTTAGCTCATGCCTCTACCTCATATAAAATTACAAGAATGATTACCGGTACTTGTTATCGGTTGCCTAGGGACAAGTAACTTTCTTGTTGACAAAAACCCTTCTACTAAACACCTAACTTTTATTATCTTGCAAAGTACTTCTAGTTTTATTCTTGCAAAGTAGTTCTAGCATCACAACTACAAAATAGTTTCATACTTGTTTCCGGTAAAGCATACGTCAAGTATGCGTAGAGTTGTATCGATGGTCGATAGAACTTGAGGGAATATCTGTTCTACCTTTAGCTCCTCATTGGTTTCGACGCTCTTATTTATCGAAAAAGGCTACAAACGATCCCCTATACTTGTGGGTTATCAAGCGTGTGTGAAGAAGTACATCCCTGCAGGGTTAACGTGATCTATTCGAATAGCCGCGTCCGCGGATATGGACTACTTGGAACACTTACATTATTTATAGACAAGTTAAATGGATACTCTAAAATGTGCAAGATAAGCATAAGTGCTATGGATGGCCTTCTCGAAGGGAGACGGGAGCGGATCCATAGTGGTGTATTAATTTGGTGAATATGTGGACTTGTGTGTGCCACCTCAAAGAAAGTACTCGCAGTATAGGATAGCAACCGAGTGAAAGTTGGCTTGCTACAGTTAAACCTAGTAGTAGCGCGGGTTAAAAGCTAGTAGTAGCGCAGGTGCCTGTGCTACTACTACGGCGCTACAGCTAACTAGTAGTAGTAGCGCGGTGCATCCCGTGCTACTAGTATGTGTGTTAGTAGTAGCGCATGTCTGTGACCCACTCTACTACTATTAATTTGAAAACCCAAAAAAATCTCAACCCCATGACGCGCGCACGTTGGTCGGGAGCAGGGAGATCTCGTCCATGACGCGTGCCTCGTGGAAGCCGTCGAGGGCGGCTGCGGAGGCCAGCCCGGCGTGGGCCAGGAGCTGGAGGACCTGCATCTTGGCATCGTGCGTGGGGAGCAACACCTCGCGGCGGCCGTCGCCGTTGAGGTCGGCGACGAGTGGCGGCAGGAGGCGGTCAACGTCTTCCGGAATGAGAAGTCGCCCTCGTGCTGCCGGAGGAGGAGGGGATGGGTCAGCTAGCATTCCGGATCGAATCGAAGAGGGGGAAGGGCTGACCTGGAGCAAGAAGAAGACGGTGAAGGCAGCGAGGAGGAGGATGCCGTGGTCGCGCTTCCGCATCTTGGCGGCGGCGAGGAGCTCTGGCGACCGCCCACCAAAGGGATCTCGGAGAGGGAGGGGGTGAAGAAAGCAGAGTGTACCAGCGGCGGCCACCGCTGGAGTATGAGGGTGAGACGAGGAAAGTGAGAGGGGGGAAAGTGAGGGAGAGAGGAGGGATTCGGCTGAGGATACGGGGATTTCACCTACCTCGTACTTAGTAGTAGCGAGGGGTGTAAAACCGCGCTACTACTATCAACTTAGTAGTAGCGCGGGTTTGTACCCCTCGCTACTACTATGGCATGTCCCGGGAGGGCACGGTAGAGACCGCTTAGTAGTAGCGAGGGTTAAAAACCCGCGCTACTAGTATCAACTTAGTAGTAGCGAGGGTTAAAAACCCGCGCTACTAGTAAGTAGCAGTAGCGAGGGTTATGAACCCTCGCTACTAGTAAGCGTCTGTCTATAAGCTTTTCCCTAGTAGTGCACCCCTTTGTTTACACTGATGCATATGTAGTTAGTTCTAATGTAAGTCTTGTTGAGTACATTTTTACTCAACAATTTCTTTATTTATGTTTTGTAGAGGAGACTTCAGTCTCACTAGTAGTTTCATGTGGGCTTCGATGATTAGCTTGGGAATCCCAGACAAAGGTCTGGTTCCTATGGAGGGCCTTGCAGATAACCTTTTCTTTTGTAGATGTTTGTACTCAGACATGTTATGCTTTCGTTGCTTGTATGATGGGTCATGTTACCCCTGTTTGTAATATCATGATATGTATGACTCTTCGGAGCCTTTCAAATAAATACTTTGAGTCGTAGAGTTTTGTTGTGACCATGTTGTACTTACACATATCGAGCATACTGTGTGTATGTTATTGAAATGCTTGGTATGTGTGGGATCCGACACCTAGTTGTTTATTTTTGGTAGCCTTCCTTATGGAGAAATGTCTCCTAGTGCTTCCACTGAGCCATGGTAGTTCGCTACTGCTCCAGAACAAATGGGCTGACCGGCATGTGTCCTTCTTTGCTCCCGTGTCTGTCCCTACAGGGAAATGTCACGCGGTGTTTACTGGAGTCCTAATAGCTTGCTACAGCTCGGTTACAGTCACTGCTAACTGACACGTGCATTGTTGGGTCATGTATGCATGTCCCTATAAGTTTGTGCCACCTTGGATTTACGACTAGTCATGTTGGCCCGGGTTCTCTTTCATATGGATGCTAGCAAAACAATCATATACGTCATCCAAAAGGCACAAACGGTCCCGGCCAAGGTAAGGCTGCAGCAGTGGGAATGCCGTGCGTGAGGTCGCAAAGTGATATGATGTGTTACATGCTAGATTGGTGTGACTTAGGATTGGGGTCCTGGCGGTTTTTGCATGGCCCGTTGCACACGATTTCTACTTGGTCAACGATGACCCCCCCCCCCCCAAAATAGCCAACCCACTCGAGTAAATAGTTCTAGAAACTGTGTGCGGTTGGGGTGTGCGTAGCCCTGTGAGGTACTAGTACAACAATGGTTAACAAACTAATAGTAATTTAGTTTTGCCACAAACTTGTGGGGTCTTTCTGATGTTGGAATCTTTATACCTTCTTATATTTAATAATTGGGGGCTCCTTTCGAGCCTCCTTGTTGATCCTAAAAAACTGCTTAAAACTAATTGTGGGATTTATATTTTACTTTTACAATAAAAAAAGAGGAATAAAGTTATATTTTGAATTATGTACGGCTGTATCACCTTGATGCATCATTTGAGCCAATAATATTCTTCATATCATGTTTTTCAACCATGAAAAACATATAAAATATAAAAATATGAAGCTCTTATTGATTATTTATGTGTCTCATTAATTGCTAGCCATGTGGAGTTGCACGGGTTGATTACTAGTTGCTATTAATGATGAAACAATGTCTATAACCAATACTGATGTTGAGTATGATATGCCTATTACTTATGACAAAATTCATGATTGGGATGACGATTGTGATGCATCTTATGATATTGAAAATCTATCTGGAGCCAGTGAGGATTAGGAGGGAGGAGAAAGATGCAAGGACTTGTATTATCACAATGTTGGCGTTAACCATACAGCATGCTCCTTACAAAAATGCAATATGAAATAATGAATACAATTACGACACCAAGCAACCTTTTTTGGGTTTGAAGTGTAACTTACCCCTTGATTGGATAAGTTTTGACGATTATTTTCTATTATACTAGGAGGAAGAAACAATCTCTATGCTTGCACAATGGACTAGGGTAGGACCACACACAGAGCAAATGAATGAAAGAAAGCATTTATGTTTCAAAAAGCCAATGCATAAAAACGAAGTTTAATGTCACTCATACATTCCCGGAAGTGAGCACGACACGTTTGTTTAACTGAAAAAAGATACATTAACATGGTGGCAATCTAAGTAGAGTGCTCTTGATCACCATTCTAACATGACTGGGCATTATTGTTGCAAAAGCAGTGTATAACTGCTACTTTTCTATCCCCTGTGGATGCATGCTTCGTACATCTATTCCACTGGATCAACAAAAAGCATTCTTATAGTATCCTTGATGGTCTCTAAATTAGTGTATGCGTCGGTATGCTTGTACATGTTATCCACGGTTCTTGAAAGGTCAAGTATAATTTGTGGCACAACCATTGGTTGATCTATCAATTCCAAATAATGTTTTAATATATCTTTCCATGAATTCTCAATAAGTTCCTTTATCTCTTTACACGCGTCATCTTTTGTCGTCTCATGCTCCTTCATGTAAGATTGGATAGTAGATGCACAGTGGATCCCTTGTTGCTCACGCTGCAAAATATAATGGTAGAAAATGTCAATTATGTTTTAGTACAATAGCTAGTTTAATCACATATAATGGTAGAAGGTGTCAATTATATTTTAGTACAATAGCTAGTTTAATCAAAGGGATGTTCAGAAGACCTCTACAAGAAATTAGAAAAAGACATTTGTGTTCCACTTTGCCGCTCCTCACTTGAGATCTCATAATGCAAAGGGCTATGTTTCACCTTTCTTTAGTGAATTTATTTGCTACCATCGATCAAGATACATAAGACAAGGAAACTTGTAAACATAGCAGCCAATGTATATATTACACATGACACACATGTTTCATGGGCCCCACTCTCTATGATGAATGCCATCGTATTCATCGTCATGCCTAGGTCGGGCATGCTTAGTCCAGTTTCACTTCAAGCTTGCATAGCTAAGCAAGATTGAAAATGGTTATAGCTTCCATTTAAAAAATGTCTATTAAAGTTTAAATATTCTAGCAATACCATAACAATATGTGGTTATCACCATGGAAGCATGCAAAAAGATACATATGTGCCTTAAATTGTCACAGTAAATATGATTGAATATTCATTGTGTATAGCTACTTCTTTAAACACATGACAGTAATTATGTTCAAATCGCTGCAACACTTTCCCAAGATGCATGCAAAATATCCATTTGAAGTCAAGTACATCTCTAATAATGTGTACCTCTATTGATGCCATGTCGTTCCTGAGCCGTACAAATATAGCAAAAGACTTGAGAAGTTTCGCCTCGCTAGAAAGCCAATTGAAAGTCTCCGCATTTATGTTATCCATGCAAACGAGAAAAGCACATGCTACCACAGATGTCCCAATACTTATCGTTGAAACTTCAAGATGTTCGCTTATTTTCTTTGGCACATATTTTTCATCACGCCATTTTAGTTCAGCGTTGTATGCTTGAACTAATTTCTTGAGGTTTCAAAATTAATCACCCAAAATGTTTGTAATATTGCTAAGAATTACAAAATGATTAAAATTGTTTGAAACAAAGATACGAAATTGAAATTATCCATTGTCCATCTACATGTTTGGTATATATAAAGTTATCTTGTCATCCAAAACTTCAACAGTTACATTTGCAGGGAATGGACACAAGAAAATTTTACTAGGGAATTTGGTTTTCATGAAAAATATCAACATTAACACTAACTCTTTCATGAAAAGCAATACCATTTTTAGTGAATTATTGTAAGTCATACTATAATTTTTTGGAAACCTAGTACAAACAGCTCAGATACACACACGTAGAGCCCGCTCGCCCACACACACAATGTACACAAGCATGCACACCCTAGCCCTATGAGCTCCTCTGAGAGGCTAAGCCAAAAAATCTTGAGATCAATGAAGTTACCACGGACAACTTGTAGGGAACGTCGACTCCCAATGAACAAAAAGCTTGGAATAAATCTAGTAAAATGGAAGCACCCTTTCAAAGTATAGGACTTAAACCCCGGTTGATAGGTTCACCACAAGGAATCTAATCTTCCGAGCTATGCTCAATTCATTGATACTATGAAATTTTCAAACAACATATGGGAAAATGAAAGATAATTACAGTGCCAAGAAGTCAATTGGTGGGTTAATTTTGTACTCTCATGAAATGTTTAAAGGTGTGTTCTATTTTGGTAAGTCATATCTTGTTCAAAAAATGTATGTGATAACATCTGAACTTTCTAAATTGAAGACCTTGTCCCATTTCTCTATTTTAAAATAAGTTAAAATTACATACATGTGAACTAGCTAGGTTTATCACACGACCTACATCCAAATTGTTTCATTGAAAGTACATCCAACTCCCTAAATGGATATTGATTACTAACAAAAATGTGTGGTGGACTAATAAATATATTGTTCAAATGTATAATTGTGTTTCAACTCTAACAACTATAAAATTAATGTTATTGGCAGTCACCCACGTGAATAAGAGAAGAAGAGACCACACTTGTTGATGATAAAATTATATATTCCAAAGGTTCCTAATGATTCAAGTATTATATTTATTATAGAACAAATTGTATCGGGCGTGACACATCTTATAGCAGGTGAGAAAGCTTAACATTGTTCTAATGCTTAACCGTTATCACCTGTAGCTACACAAGATTAACTTCCTGAGTGTCAGTTATTAACCACTAGTATATGGAACAGAAGATTGAAATTCTACGAGTCAATGAGTTCAGTGGAAACCACTATCCTAGTACTCCCTGCATCCCCTTATACAAGGCCACTTCATATTTTTATATCTAACTTTGACCATTAATTTTACCAATAAAACATGAGTTATATGCCACAAAAAGTATGTCAGTGAATGCACATTTTAAAGACTTTCTAATGGTATGTTTTGTATGACATATATCCATATTTCGTTGACCAAAATTATGAATCAAAGTTTGACACGAAAAACAAAGTGGACTTGCATAAGGGCATTGGAGGGAGTATTTTTTTCCTACAATACTTATTTCAAAGTTTGAATTATCTAGAATTTCCATCTGGATCGATTGGTCATTATATCAGTTCACCCAGGACTTGGTTTAGATTTTAGTACACCGTCTCATTAATTTTGTAGAAGTGTTTGGGTTATGTACCAAATGCATAGGGTTGGAATCGCAACCTGTATCCAACTATCTATAGGTATCGACTTAAGTTTGATATGTATGTATGAGTGCTTGAGTAGCAACTGCAATTTGGATCTCGGGCAACGTCACCCGGGGCCACATAATTACGAAATGGGATTGTTGCAATAATGACAATTTCTACGTGATGACTATTTATAACTGGCTCTAACGCTAAGAAACACGAAGCATTACAAAAGGCTCACCGGGTCATCATAGTCCTACATGTTCTAGTTCCACTATTTGAAGCGAAAGTTAAGTATTTTCTCTTGTAGACTTGCAAACAGATCTATATGGTTTTAATTTATTTACTTAAAGTATGTTACCATTTTTACTTTATATCAGCCTAACAACATTAATAAAATATACCACTTCTAGTCTTAGCTAGATCATGGTATTTCATCTTGGCAGCACACGGAGACCAAATATTAGTAAGAGAATGCATATTAAAATATACTAAGTGCACATTTCAATACGCCAAACTAGTTTTCTATGGTAAAATATAATACTTGCCGATTCTTTAAGATAAACCACGCGGTAGCTCTTCTCAGGTCCTAAATGCTCCTCAAAAGAATGAAATGTTTCCAACAAATATAAGTAGATATCCTTCATGTATTCTCGAAGCACATCTATTGCACCTTCATCCCACCTGCATTTCACTATGTTAGACCATACTACTACTAATTAATAAATCAATACTCATACTGCATTTAAAAAACTTCGAGAATGAAATGAATTTGTGTTTCTACAAAAAATTAATACAGTTAAATGAATAATTAACAAAAGTACTTTCCTTCATATCTTATAAAAATATCGCTCCATGACGATGTCCCAGTTTTCACTCTAATGTTTACATGTGCATTAATAAATTGTTTCTTGAACTAGAAATACCATAATCCAATGGTACTACATTTTTTATATTTTGTTGCCAAAATGGAATTACTTATGGTTCTAAAATATTTATTTATTTATGGAGTTATAGTGTAACTAGTGTGTAAGGTACAATGTTTATTACGTAGACAACTTAATATAACTATTTCACTTTTTCTAAAGAAAAATTGTATTAAGACACAAGGTACAAAAAATATAGTAATATAGCTAATATGTCATCCCAATAGAATCATGGGCGTCATGAGGACATACCCGACATAATACATTCTACTCATAATGCAACACTTCACTATTTCTTTTCTGTTTGTATGACTCGATATTGCTATTTATCTTCATGCTTATTCTAATATATATTTAGTTCATATATTAAAAATATTATAAAACACATGTATTGTAATTATTAGAAAAAACTAATTGGTGAAGGGAAGGAGGATTTAACCTATTAATTGCTTCTACAATTTGCATGCTCTCTTCAGTGCTACCATAGGTGTCCAATATGTCATCTATTATAGTCATGAAAGCAGTGATCTTTGTTGCTATAATACGAGAATAAGAATATTTGCGATTGCAGCTAGTTCCATTTATCCAAAAATAAGTTTCTACTATTCTGTCTCTTATGAAACTCAAATTTGATCCGACGCTCAGTTTCTGCCACCACCTAGAATGAACATAACATAAGTCAGTTGGCATTCTTATGACTAGAAGAAAAAGAATGCATTGTAGAATAATTTCAAGAAGAGAATTATAAAAGAAACTTACAAGGTGACCTCTTTTAACTCCTCACAGAAATGAAGTTGAAGAATATTAAAATTCAATTTCGCAAGCTCCAATATGGCTTCATTTCGTGTAGCCTCTTTTTCATAACAAGGTATGTAGCTTCTTGCTTCTAATATCCTAACCCTTCTAAAAGGAGGTGTAAGAAGGGCAGAAGACACTTCCTCTACAAATGGTGATTCCAAATGTTCTAATGCACCAAGGAGGTGTTTTTTTAGTGAAATAGATTGCCTTGTCAAGTACTTGCTCTCCCTTGATCCTCATATGTGCTGCACTATATAAGCTCAATAAACTATTTGTATCCGATTGAAAGAAATCTCCTTGTTTGTCTTGAAATTTATTGAATACATCTGCAATGATTATTGAAAATGGACATTAATAATTTCCAAAAAATTAATGTTTGATTGCTATATATCTTGGTTGCGTAAGTTTATGAGGCCTTACCAGATGAGGCGTCATATCTATTTTTCCGCAAAAGATAAAATCGAAGTGAAACCAACTGTAGATTATTATCATCATAATCAGAGTTCAAAACGCCATCCAGTAGTTCCCCGATCTCATTCTCATAGTGGTAGTCCAAGCCAAGTCGTTCAAGCAAGAGTATAAGCCATGTTACTTTTTGTATTCCATTTGACTCTTTTATTACTGTTCTTACTTGCTCCAATAAAACTTCCATTCTTTCTTTCATTTGAGGTTGCTGCAATAATATAAATGGTATTACTAATCAATCATGTGGACCACTAATGCTTTGCATCATAGTGTTTGCCATAATGCTACAATTTCAAGAACTGTGATGAACATGACACACCTTTAAAATATCTTAACAAACTAGACAATTTATTTCTAAGTTAGTTGATTCTTATTTTTTAGTCAATGTTCTAACCATTTAATATCTATGTAATGAAATTTGGATAGCCACACATTCAATATATTATAGCAATTTTAGTTCTAGAAATATGCAATGAGGCAGTTGCATGGTTTTACAAATAAACTTCAAATGGTGTGCAACTCTTGGTTTTACGATATGCTACTTGGCCAATTTAAAAATAATAGTTGCTCTCAAATAACTATGAAATATTATATAAGAAAAACATTCTTAATTAATACAAATAATGGTAGAATCTAATTTATACCTAATATGGTGACTATTGTTGTAAAAGTTTCGACCGAGAAAAATAATTCTTTCACACATAAAAAGATGTTACAACTAATTAAAACCTATACCCATCACACAGTAAACATTGCATAGCATCGAAACAAATCATGGGTGTTTTCTAGCATTTGTTTGTTGAACGCTATTTGTGATAACAAATCCTCATGATAGTGCAGACTGTCATTTAGAAAAACAATTTAATGTTGCATTGTACTCCCTCCGTCCGGGTTTATTAGGCACCCTTGTATTTTGGGCCAAATTTTGACTCTAGATTTGATTAGTAAAATACAAGTAATATTTCAAACAAAATTATATTGTCGTATTCATATTCAAAGGAAGTTTTCAGTGACACGTTTTGCTACATATAATTCATATTATGTTACACAAATGTATGGTCAAACTTAGGCTCAAAATGTGAATGTGTCTAATAAACACATACGGAGGGAGTACAAATAATGTATTTTGTGTGTACAACGTGGCATAGTGTGATTGTCATGTTTTCACGAGAAAAGCTAAATCATGAGTTTACTTAATAGATATAATAATTTTTCTTTAAAATTGGGTCGACGTGTGCATGCATGCATGTTTGCTGTTGCATTGGTTCGGCAAATTGAAGTCATCTATGTATTTACCTAAATAAGCCGGTGTCATGCAAAAAATATTTCCAATACCCTATAGTTATCTCCAAATGATTGTAACATCTACTTTATATGTAGTACTACGAGTATGTACAGTAATACCTTCCCTGAAGATTGTGGCTGGTGTGTAAGGAAGTAATCTCCCCACAAAATCGGGTGAAAAGTTGCCATCGTCTGCACACCATTTGAAGTGAGCTGCTGTTCCGGCATACAAGTGGTGTCGAATATCGTAAAACCATGAAGTGAGCTGCTGCACACCACAACTCTTGGTTTTACGATGGCAGCAGCTGCTGTTCCGGCCTGGGTATCTCCCCACTTGTATGCCGGAACAGTCCGTGTGAGCTGCTGCCATCGAGTTGTTTGGATATACGAATGATTCGGAGAACAAAGTGAGAGGTGTACTTGGAAGTACTGTACTGTGTGGAGGTGCTGCCCATGCTGGTATATATAGAGATACCCAGGCCGACTTGTCCTCTTGTCCTTTTGTTGGCAAAAAGGACAAAAATATTAGTAACATGGAGTCGTGTACGTATCAACTCTCAGGGTTCAACGTTTATAAATCAAGTCGGATCCGGAGCAACGAGAAAAAAAGAGTATTATTCACGGTGAGAATAACTTCAACACTAACATAAGGTTCAACTCAGCAAATTTGCTTTATGACAATGATTTAGTGAGGAGAGAGTTGAATTGAGTAACATAACTAGTTACTCATACTATGAGTAACATCACACATGCCAAGACAAGATGAGTCTAGAAGCTAATAAATCAAGTATTGCGTGACACCACACATGTGTTGATCCCCACTATGGAGGTGGTAACATAGACTAGTAACATATGCATGTTACTAATCAAAGTTACTCCCCATTGTGAGTAGTCTATATATGCGTGGGAGGAGTACCTGGTCTAGAGGTTCTTCTCTCTCCTTGTTCATTTATATTTTCTTGGAATCATTTGAATCTACGATATGTCTAACATTTGTGTTCCAGGTGACAAGATCTTCAAAACAATAGCAATATTGAAAATGTTGATCCATTGGAACTTGGTGACAATTTTATGCAACCTTTGTGAAAATGTTGTGGGTACATGAGATATTATACGTTTTATATTATATTATGATAAGTATATTTTCTTCGAAAACAATTGGATCCTATTTATAATTTTGTGTAACTATTATATGAGACTTGTGGCACCAGATGAACACTAGTATTTGTCGAGACTTATGGCACTCGATGAACACTAGTATTTGTCGAGACCTGACAGAGAAGCCCCCCCTGTTCGCTTGATAGGGTGATACAGGTGTGTCGCCCTCATCACCACCGCGCCACAGCCCTCCTCCCCACCACCCCCTCGCCGCTGCCGAACGGTGCTGCTTAAGAGAAGCCGCGTGTGGGGCAGGTGGCGGGACCTTTCTCCCATGTCTCATGATCTCCCTGTCCACATTCTCGTTTTTCGCCGTGGCCATGGCCAGGTGGGTCGGTGGCCTCTCATCAGCGTGTGGTCGTTGCTTGGAGCTTGTCTCGCCCAGGAGGGGCTTGATGGGGGTCGCTTGACTCGGGATTGGGTGGGCTCGGCCAGATGGGTTGTAGTTCCTCGATCCTGTTCTTGGACAGTGGTATACCGCTGGTGGATTCCTCTATTGCCCAGATCTAGGTGGGGAGTCCCCTTGGGTGTGAAAGGAGGCACCTTTCCGTCCCGTCGTGGTAGTCGATGGCCATGGCAGCGGGCAGCAGGTGGTGGCACGAGCGGTGGTGCGGGGTTGGGAGCTCTTGTATGCCGGGCTGACGACCGCGGTTATTGTGGCTGTGCGGTTGGCTTTGCGGCGAGCAACACGACAATATTCTCCATGGCTATGAGGGTAAGGAGGTGAGGGGCGCTGGGAGATCCTGTTGTCATTATGGCTTCGACAATGACGGCTCCATGGTCAAGATTTAGGGGACCCGTGCTAGCACGGCGACCCTTCCCTCGGGTTGGCTCGGTTTGGTAGCTCGGGTGTGCAAATGAGGCTATGAGCGAAAGCTCCACGCTGGCGATGGTGATGCATGCGGTTGTCTCTTCCCTCTAGGGGCATGAGTGTGTCTCCCCTATTCGCGTGAGTGTTTCAGGCTTGATGGTAGGTGCATGTTGCATCGTTACCCCCTTCGGGGTGTCACTGGGGAGCTCGGGTACCTACTGGTTGCAGTGTGCCAACTTTAGATTTGCTTTGACCCTTGCGTGAAGCTTCTTTGACTGGTGTGTTGTGGATTAGTTGGTCTCCTACCATACATGTGTCCTTGTTGTCACCATTATCGGTCCTCGATATGCGCTGGTAGGGTCGGTGCCCCACAGCGGGAGCAAGAAGGCAAGCGACCCTCTCTGGTGATAGCTGAAGGAAATATGCCCTAGAGGCAATAATAAAGTTATTATTTATTTCCTTATATCATGATAAATGTTTATTATTCATGCTAGAATTGTATTAACCGGAAACATAATACATGTGTGAATACATAGACAAACAGAGTGTCACTAGTATGCCTCTACTAGACTATCTCGTTAATCAAAGATGGTTATGTTTCCTAACCATGGACAAAGAGTTGTTATTTGATTAACGGGATCACATCATTAGGTGAATGATCTGATTGACATGACCCATTCCATTAGCTTAGCACCCGATCGTTTAGTATGTTGCTATTGCTTTCTTCATGACTTATACATGTTCCTATGACTATGAGATTATGCAACTTCCGTTTGCCGAAGGAACACTTTGTGTGCTACCAAACGTCACAACATAACTGGGTGATTATAAAGGTGCTCTACAGGTGTCTCCAAAGGTACATGTTGGGTTGGCGTATTTCAAGATTAGGATTTGTCACTCTGATTATCTGAGAGGTATCTCTGGGCCCTCTCAGTAATGCACATCACATAAGCCTTGCAAGCATTGCAACTAATGAGTTAGTTGTGAGATGATGTATTAC